AAAGGAAGCTTGATGAACGGAGGCCACCCAAGAAAGCGATCATCATCACCTTGTCGTCGGGTTCATCAACTTGGAGTACCTCTTTGTTAAAACGAGTGAGGTAACTCCTCAGGCTCTCCTCACACTCCTGCTTTATACTAAGTAGGTGCGTAATAGGCTTTTGGTGGCGACGCCCTCCAATGAAATGTAAGACGAATGATCTGTTAAGCTCAGCGAAGGAGGCAATGGAGGAGGGGGAGAACTTAGCAAACCACTCTCGGGTAGACCCCTTTAACGTGGTTGGGAATGCCCTGCACATGATTTCGTCTGGTACGTTGTGCAGTTGCATCAAAGTCTTATAAGTGTCGAGGTGGTCCAGTGGATCCTTAGTTCCATCAAAGGTCTCCACGGATGGCATTTTGAACTTCTGAGGGGGGGTAGTTTGCTACATTAGGCTTGAAAGGCGTATCCGTACGCCTTACCAGGTGGTCTACAGTTTTGGATCCCTGTGCCTTCATGGCATTGAAGACATAACCCAGTTGATTTTGTACTTCCTTGATTTTCTTGTCCCAATGATTAGGGGCTTCCCTGGAATGATCATGGAAATGACTTTCGTGCTCGATGCTTTGGTTTTCGCCCTCATCCTCTTGGAGATAAGGGTCCTCTCCATGGGAAGCAAGAGGAGGGGGAGGTGGAACTCCCTCATGTTGGGCTCCCCCAAGTAGGGCGCCTAGGCATGGAGCAACAGGGCGTGGTGCTCCTTGGTGTCCAGGGCGTGGAGCTCCTTGAGGTCCTCCATGTTGTGCACGTCCGAATTGCACTCCTCCTTCGGGTCCTCCAAGTTGTGCTCCTCCTTGGGGTCCTCCATGTTGTGCACCTCCGAGTTGTGCTCCTCCTTGGGGTCTTCCATGTTGTGCACCTCCAAGTTGTGTTCCTCCTTGTCCAGCAAGCATGAGTTACAGTAACTATTGATTTTGGGCCACCAGCTGCTGCATGGTCTCCAACATTTATTGGGATTCGGAGCTGGAGCATTCGTGACAGAGTTGGTAGGCGGAGGAGTAACCTTCTCCTCTCGTGGAGGATTGTCTTCAGGTTGGTTCATGGATCGGATAGTAATCGTCATTAGTTCAGTGGATGTAATGTTTAGGAGTGAGAATTTTATTGTTTTTCACAGACGACGTCAAACTGATGATGCACAAAAATGATTTTGAACACCACCTGTCAAGTGTAAATAATAAATGTAGTAAAAGTAAAAAGAGAATTGGAGGAGACAAGATTTATAGTGGTTCGGTCAACTCGACCTACGTCCACTCTTGAATGACTTTCGTTGTCGAGTATTTTATTAATTTAAGGATATGGAGATAGAGAATACAAGCTTCGAGGGAGAATAAAGAATCAAGGAAGGTGTGGTGCTAGACAATCAGTGTCCTTCCAAGTGTTGATAGAGCGTGCAATTTATAGTGGCCCCCTAACAGGTTGGGGCTACTTTCCAGCGACTAAACAACTATTTCGGTGGAGCTCCCGATCTCTTCTCAACGAGCGAGGTGGTTGAGGAGCTCTCCATGAGATGCGGTCAAAGATGGATCGTTTCTTTCGATGGTGCAGATAAAGCTTCCCATGCTCTCCCCCTTGATGACGTGACTAAGTAAAGAGTCTAACTGGTCTTGGACTATATTTGGCTTGGTGGATTTTTCATGAGGTTGGGCTCCTCAATTGGGGTTGGACTTCTCACATAAATTGGGCTATTTGGGCTTGACCCATCGAGTATCTCGACCTCCTTTCATGTTCAGTGACCATATTTAAAATTTCTAGGTCTACTTTGCAACAGTTTATTATCTACTCAAAATTAAAGATTTTACATGGATGAGGGAGAATCGTTCCAATTACATGATTTTTTTTTATTATTTGATACTATTAACATAGAGTCACCGTTACGTCTAATATTTACACGCAATTGAGTGGCTTGGCAGAAACATGGGCCATGGATCATAGTTATCAATAACTATAGGGTAAATTATAAAATGTACACCAAATTAGACTTATTTGGTAAAAAATACACACTAAAAATGTAAGGTTATTAAGTAGTTAATTTTGATACTTGTTTATATCCAAGTACATAATTTGAATTTATCTATTTTTATTGTGACATTTTTTGCCCTCCATTTATCCATGTGTATTTAATGCACCACTTTTCTTTGGAAAGTGATGCATTAAACATCTCCTAGTTTTATGGGAGAACTTTAATACACACACACACAGATATATATATATATATATATATATATATATATATATACTTATGTATATACTTGTTGTTAAATCTCTTATCTAAATTTTGAATTATCTTTTAATGCACCTTTATTCATGCATTTTTTTTTTAGAAAATGGTTTTATTTTTAAATTAATTTAATATTCGAATAGTGTAATAGTGTAACAACAAAAGTATAACAGTCTAACAATAAAAGTGTAACAATATAACAATAATAGTGTAACAAGTTATTTACACAAAATATTGTACTATTACATTTTTTCAAACATATAGTTCCATATAATTTCATTCAAAATAGTCCATATCCGTTTTAAATTTGTTACCATATATACAAAATTACTGAACACTATTTTTGTTACAGTGTTTTTGTTACATTGTTATTATTATACTATTACATTATTCGGATATTAAATTAATTTGAAAATAAAACTATTTTCCAAAAAAAAAACAAACGTTTGAATTAAGGTGCATTAAATATAATTTGAAAACAAAATCACTTTTAAAAAAAAATATGTATGAATCAAAGTGTATTAAAGATAATTCAAATTTAAATAAGAGATTTAACAATATATATATATATATATGTGTGTGTGTGTGTGTGTGTATACATGTATTAACAAATACACATGACTTAAAGTGCATTAAATACATATTTATATGTATTAACAAACAGACATGAATTAAAGTGCATTAAAGATAAGAGATTTTGAATTAAATGACCCTAAAATGGGCATTTATGTCTTTTTAACTCATATTTTATTGTATGTACTTTTTGCTAAATAAATCTAATTAAGTGTACCAGCTTCCAAAGAATCCATAGCTATAACTTGAGCTCAATGTCTGGTATGTACAGCATGTTTCTAATCTAGTCATTGGATCTTGTCGAGGCAGCTTTGATATAGCCTTGGCCTAATTCTTAGAGGGGGAAAGGGTCGTGGCCCATGGGCCTCTGCTATTATAGGCTTGTTCTTTCCATAGAATTAAAGCCCAACTTTCATCCCGAGTGATCTGCCCATGATAGAATGGCTTTGGGCTAGAAACTTTTGTAATCCACTCATGTTGGGGGTAAACCCTTGGCCTATTACTCGTAGAATGGTCAATGGTAGGCGAATCAAAAAATAGGAGAAGAATTTGTTATAGTAACTTTAAAAAAAATAGTAACGTAACATAAAAAAAAAAAAAAAGACTATTTAAATACAAAAAATAGTAACATTTAAATACAAGAAAATAGTAATATTCAAAAACAAAAAAAATAATAACATTGAGTGTTAGTATTTGAAAACATAATAGTAATAACATGCTCAACAAAAATAGTAATATGTTTACAAAAATAATAACATGGTAAAAAAAAAAAGTAACACATAACATTTAAAAATAAAAAAAATAATAACATTTAAAATCGAAAATAATAACATTTAAAAATAATAATAACATTCAATAACAAACAGAAAATATTTAAATAAAATAAAAAATAGTAACATTCAAAAACAAAAATAGAAACATATAAACAAAAATAAATAATCTACCTCGACGAATCAATATGAGTTCATCTATAGTAAACACTACTATTATAATTTAGGTATATTTTATTCATCTATATTTTTGCCTTTTTTTTTAAAGAAGAAAATAAGAATTTTGATTTTTAATGGTCTAATCTATCCATTCCCAAATCTCATATCAACTAACGATCAAGCAATGTTAAAGACAATAATTTACATCTTAATTTATGATTCAACATTCAATTTAATAGCAAGATAACAATATGGGACAAAACTAAGGTGCTAATGGGAATTTGAATCTAATAGTAAACTAAGTTATGAAAAAAATTAGAGAGAGAGAGAGAGAGAGCTTTTTGAATTTGAATTTCAAATTTATGAAAAAAATTTATTGGCATATCTTGCCAATAAATTTTTTGGGATAACAATTCTCAAGTTAAAAAACTAATTTAAAGTTGCTTTTAAAGAAGAATATTTTAGAGTTTTAAAAAAATATTAGACTTAACTAGTTATTAGTAAGATTAAAAATGGACTTATCCCATATAAGTTTTCTTAATGGAGTAAACTCATTATACATTTCTTAAAGAGAGCTCAATCTTAATTTTCACTATTAATTATTGTATTTTAGTTTAGACCGAGTGAGTTTGAGCGGCGAACGAGTAAACTCACCAAATCTTTCAAATAAACATGTTTGACGCACGTGATTAAATATGACACAAATTCAACTAAGTAAACTTTGATATACCACCAGATTATACACAATCATATATTTGAGTTGAATATAAACTAACACATTACAATATAATAAAAATTACATGATTTGAAATTGCAAGCCACAAACCCATTGGCAGCATAATAGCAGCTTCCAAAATAGGCAGTAAAGCGAGTTCGTGTCTATACATATCAATTCGTGTTTAATGAGTCCTGAACAATTTTTCGGCCAACCCAAGAAGGAGGGAGCAAATATATAAAAATACATATTCGACAAATAGATTCTGTCCTGTGTAGTTGGTTTTACTTTATATAAATTGATAGATAGCCATTACTTTATTAATGAACTTCCCGCAACGTTCTTATGAAAAGTCTCTTCCTTGATGTTTCCGCAGTCCATTCTATTTTTTTTTATCTCTTCTCTTTCTTTTTCTCTCTCAGAACTCTTCCTCTCTCAGAACTCTTCAATGAAGGTCCAAGCCATTGAACTTCCATTAATGAAAAACCACACAAGAAAAAAGATCCCAACGATAGCTACTACGCTGATGGCCATTGCAGTCCTTTTCACCATCATCCCCTTATATTTTCCATCTATACGATTTTTGCCCAAAAAAGTTTATGAATATTCCTCGTCATATAATTCTATAGAGGATTCAATAATTCCAACCCCTCCTACGGACTCTCGTTCACAGAATCACTTCCAGCAGAAAGATAGTGAACCATGTTCCCATGGAGATGATAATTCACAAGCCTGCCATGGCGATGATGACTTGTTGGCTCCGAAAATATCAAAAGGGGATGTTAAAAAACCCTCAAATTCTAGCGAGCGCGAGTTTTTAGACCCTAAAGAACCACAAGTCTATGTGGAAAGATCGAGAAACCCTATGGAAGGCGACTTACCAATTGAAAAAACACCAGAGAAGGGTGTGCAGGTGATCTCAAGCCCGAGCCAACGAGACATGGTGGCCTCAGAAAGATCAGAAAATGGAAGGAAGAAGCCAAGAAGACCTAGAGACAATGATGTGGTGACCCCAAAAGTACCAGAAAAAAATGTTATGAGACAGCCAAGTGACTCGGTGGCCTCAAAGGTATCAGAAAGTGATGAGAATTGTGATATATTTTCTGGGGAATGGGTTCCAAATCCAGAAGGGCCATACTATACAAATTTGACATGTTTGGCAATTCAGGAGCATCAAAATTGCATGAAATTTGGGAGACCAGATAAAGGATTCATGAAGTGGAGGTGGAAACCAGATGGCTGTGAACTTCCTGTGTTTGACCCATATCAGTTTCTTGAACTTGTCAGAGGAAAGTCTATGGCATTTGTTGGAGATTCTGTGGCAAGAAACCATATGCAGTCATTGATATGCCTCTTATCCATGGTAAGCCTCCAACCCCATCTTGAATTATTCATAGATTTGTTCACGTTTCTCAAATACCAAACAACCCCACTCAGGTATCTTTTGCAAAGGTAAATTGTTCAAGTAAAACAGCCTAATCTGCAAAAGTAAATAGTTAATTCCTACTAGTAGTAGTCAACAGACAAAGCTTACAAAAATGAAAGATGAATTAGTAGATTAATTTATGCATGAATAGATCATATCAATGTACTATAGGCTAAACAGAAGACAGTCGAAGCATGGGACAAGCAATTAGCCCCGGTTGGGATAATCTTTATAGAACTATTAATGGGTCATTAGGCTTTGTTGTATCTGCCACTGTTATGCCAATATTATTCAAATAAATTTGATATGCACTTTATTTTTACTTCAAATCCAAATATATCAATTTCCAAATTTAACCTCTTAACTGTGACCTATTTCTCTCATATTTCTCTATTACCTATCATGTTTCTCATATTATACCTTTAATTATATTATTTCTTTCATGTTGCCCCCATTGACTAATATTTGTTATAAATTTGATGAAAAATTATCTCATTTTTCCATTCAAATTATAATTTTTTTTTCAATTTGTCCCTACATGATGACATTCTTTGTCCAAAAGATAATGAACATTTACATTTGGGACAATATGAAATCAATTCAAAAGTTGAAGGGGCAATGAGAAAATGCAATAGTTCAAGAAATAATGTAAAATCGAATTTATGGTTCAAAGGATCAAAGTGTAATTTATCCTTTTTTTAAAAAAAATTAAGAAAGTGGGTGACATCAAAATTCAAGTTGTTTTTTCTTTCCTTGGTTGCGTAACGCAATAAAATTAATGTCTTCCCCTTGCTTTGGAACTTAAAAAATTTAGAGTTGACTAAACATGATTAGACTAAAGGATGGAGCACATGATCTACAGCTAGCTAGGTTCATTAATTTAGATCATTTTTGTTTTCTCCCCCCTATATACTTATTTTACTCTTTCTCTTAATCTTAACAATTATTGAAATAAGGCTTGATGTATATGAATTACTAAATTATGGAATAAGCACTAACAACCCTTTTACTTATGTACAAATACAACAGGTAAGTTAAACCATCTTTGTATTTTATAAAATGTCCACACGTAGAAACAACTTAACTAAAGATCGTCGTCGTTGTTACGAAGCACATAATTTTTTAGGAAAATCCTTCTAAGAGTACATACTCTCGGGTATTGCGAGCCTAGTGTGATTTGAATATAGACTAAGTACATATTTTGTGGATCGATAACTTCTCTATAAATTCACATGCTGGGCTTTGACCTATGTTTTATATCTTTTATTCCGGATTAAATGAATTCCACATTGTCAGCTTAGAACATGTCCAGTTGTTGTGAGCCTAGTATAATTTGAACATGGACTTCGGACATATTTTGTGGAGTTATCTCAATAAAGAACTTCTTTATAAACCGGATTAAATGAATTCCACATTGTCAGCTTAGAACATGTCGTAGTTGTTTTTCAACTTACTTTGTGATATTAAAATTGTGATTATTGGCCCTTGGCTACTAACTACATTGTTTTTTCTCTACACTATTATATGCTGACTTGATGATAGCTTTGAATTCAATTCCACAACCTGATAATGTGCATCACAGAGTTGAAATGAAGACATCTCTTAAGTTGCATATACTGCATGCATGAATAGTTTTGAAATCATCAAAAGGAGAGTCCACATCTTTACCTTTTAAAATGAAACAGAATATATGAGGCCTTAGCGATGGGGTTGTAGTGCTTATGATATAATTTTATCGGCATGTAAAAATATTTTTATCGAATGAAAAAAGTTGGATATAGAACATGATGCTAATCAAATTTTTTACAGAGTTGCTTCCTTTTTCTTGCATTCTTAGGTGGTGTATCCTGTAGATGTTTCAAACACAACAGACCAAAATTTCAGACGTTGGGAATACATAAGCTACAACTTCACCATTTCGATTTTCTGGTCACCCTATTTGGTAAGAACACAACAAACAGACCCCAATGACGAAACTCGTCCCTTCAATCTCTACCTCGATGAATTCAATGAGGATTGGACACCCAAGATTGAAGGGTTCGACTACGTGATCATTTCTGCTGGTCAATGGTTCTTCCGTCCAAGCATGTTCTATGTCAAACGAAGCTTAGTGGGGTGCCTCTACTGTCTTCAGTCCAACGTTACTCAGATGACAGCCTACTATAGCTATCGAATGGCGTTTCGGACAGCTTTTAGAGCAATCAACAGCTTGAAAAACTACAGGGGGATAACATTTCTCAGAACTTTTGCACCATCACATTTTGAAAATGGACCATGGGACAAGGGTGGTGACTGTGCTAGGACAAGGCCTTTTAGGAGGGATGAGGCGGTTTTAGATGGTGCAAATTTAGATATTTCTAGCATTCAAATGAAAGAGCTAGAGATTGCACAAATAGAGGGTACAAAGAGAGGGTTGAGATTTAGGTTACTTGATACAACACAAGCTATGTTGTTGAGACCAGATGGTCACCCTAATAAATATGGGCATTGGCCATTTGAGAATAAGACTAATGACTGTGTGCACTGGTGTTTGCCTGGGCCCATTGATACTTGGAATGATTTCTTGCTAGAGATGATGAAAAGGGAGGTTAGGAACCAGACCAAGTGAAAAAGTTTTCATTTGGGTGAGAAACCATTTGGTCTGAGCTGAATTTTTTTTTTTTTTTTCCTTTTATGATGAGACAGGTTATAGTTGCAGAAATAATTTCTCTAAAAACGGGGTAATGGTGGCATACATTCGATGCTCTTCAAATCTTATAATAACAAAAATCTCGTACATTAAACTCTTTTTTTTTTTTTTTTAATTTTGAAAGACATCGACATCCCTAGGTGGACTGTTAAGTTGGTGTGAAATTCGGGGTATGTTTTGGTTAGTACACAAAGGAGGAAGATTACAAAAGTACTGATTATACATGAATTGCATAGGAATTGCTAATTTTTTCCTTCTTGGAAATATTTATGTCAATTTAGAGCGAGGAAAATAAAGTAAAAGAGTTATTGTTTGAAGCTGAGTTCTCCTGTATATTCTCTCTAATTTCTGTGTTTGAAGCTGAGTTCATCTTAATTATTTAATTATTTTATTTTTTCCCTCTTAAATGTTATATCTATCTTTGCGCCCAGTAAAAATGAATAGAAGGTTAGATCCAATTTCTAGTTATTCAAAAAGCATTAACGGTACTTAAAATCATTGAAGAACTTAATTTGAACTAGTAAATTCCGGTTCAATTTAAATTGTGTAATGACATAATTAAACCCGAATTGAATTAGATTTCAACTAGAACTTCAATCCTAAAATCTGAACTTTAACCCCTCCTTTAAAATTTTAAGTATGTACAGTACTCTAATTAAAGTGAGTTCTAATTGAAGGCTGATTTTAGAATTTAGAGTTTTTTAAAAGTCGGTATACTTTCTATAATTTATTGGGCTTAAAGTCTAAATTCCAAAAACTTTTGGCCGAAAGGACACTTTAGAGCAAAAGAACTGAGGAACCTCTAACGTCACATTTACTGTTGAAAAAACCAAAAAATTAAATAAAGAAACCGATTAATTTAAAAACTAAAATACCTGAGTTTTCTCATATTAAAACTTTTTTCTTTTATATACACACGTGTTTAAATTCAAAATTTAAAATTCCTTAATTGTAAAAAAATTTCAAATTAGGATTCTTTCTTTCTATATCATGTGTTCAAATTCAAAATTTAAATCTCCTTAATTGTAATTTTTTTTCAAATTAGAATTCGTTCCCTAATATATAAATACATACAAATATATACACCAAAATAAAATAATAAATATACTGTGACATATCCATAGTGATAAATAGTAGTGACACAATGAAAAAAAAAAACAGTGACAGAAACTATGGCAAAAATTGTGATATTTTTCTTATTCAAACAAATTTTAAGCATTTAATTTAGGTATTTGTATGGTGTCATTCTTTTTTTTTTATCACAATATTTTTAGTAAATGTATGAATTGAATATCAATTTATTGATTATGGTGTTATGTCTGAGCTCACTCTTCGATGTCACACTGTTTTAGAAGCTTTATGATTTTCCTTTTCTATTCGATCAAATAAATTTAACATGTATCTCTGTGATGTCACTCTATGTTGTAATTTCCTCACAAATTTTTAACATGTATCTTAGATATTTGTATGATATCACTCTATATAGTCATCCTATTATAATTTGGAATAAGGATTCTGTATAAATTTAAATTAAAATAAGTCATGATATACAACTCAATTGAATGAGGTCACTGTTATGGGTCAAGTCTAAGGGCCCAAACTATGTTGTAAGTCCAGTTTAAATTAAAAGCCCGACTTAAGAGAGATTCAATAAATCAAGTCTAAAGTGATCCATGTCCAGTTAAGTTCATCAGGGTTTAAGGAGCTACATCAATAAATGAACATGCATGGTCATCCAAGAATCTCATCCACGCTGCCTTGAAAAGAGTTAACTCCCACGTTATCTTTTGACTGAATCTTATAGGGAGCGCAGTAACTGCCTCATCCATTGAAAAGAGGGTGTCAACTCCATCAGGTTAGTCACTTAGTTACTAATAAATTGTCTCAATCTGTTAGGAGACGACTATAAATTATAAACTCCGCAAACACTTGGAGGCATTACATTCAACTGAGCATATTCTCTATTCTCCTATGTCTTAGCTTGTATCTCTCTACTCTCACTATACACCTTGAAGTAAAAAAACACCAGGCGACTTTAGCCCTTCAAAGTGTACGTAAGTCACATTAGCAAAACCACTATAAATCCTTGTGTTGCTTTCTCTCTCTATCTATCTCTCTCTCTCTCTCTCTATTTTACAACTGCAATAATTATCAGTTACTTGATAGGTGGTGTGCAAAGTCAATTTGTGCATTATCACTAGAGATGGTAGTGAACCGGGAAAAAACGGGTATTCGTTCAAATCTGTTCTGTTTGGATCAGGGATAGACTATACGTATTGGATAGTAGACATATATGAAAATACCTGTATAAACTCGTATGGGAATGAAGGCAGGGATGAACTTACCCTTACCCCCGCCCCCGCCCCTCCCCACTCCCGCTACCCATTATATATATATATTTCTAACTAAACATATTTACTATAACTACCAATTTAGAAATATGATATTCAAACTAAAAAGTGGCATTGTTATGTGATAATCTTATCAATTTTTTTTCTTGATTATTTTTTTTTTCTATTTGTGCTAACTGATTAAAACTGTTAGGTGACCATACTCTAAACATAGATAAGAAAGACTACGATAGTTTTACATTTCATCGTGGGTAGAAATATTGTAAATTGAAGTTGTTGAGTTTTTCTATAGTGAACTAAGAAATGGGAAGAATTATTTAATTAGTGAAATTTTAAGTTTTTATCTTTTAACACTTTATGACTGTAATATGAATTGTAATAACAAATTTTTTTTAGGAAACTTCAAGTGTAGTGCTATCGTTTTCTTAGTTCAATTTTATTTTCTTTTTCTTCATTTCTTTCTAATAGTTTCATTTCTCTTTTTGTGGTCCAATGACACTTTAAATAGAATACTATATTATTTTAACTTTTATATTTTACAACCTACATTATGTTGTGTTAGACTATATTAGAATGATGTTGAATTATTTAAAATATTAGATTTATTTAGAATTTTGAATTATGCTACTTGGGCTTGGGCTTAGGCGGGTACGGGGAAAAGCGGGGACGGGGATAAGGATTAGAAATTTATCCGCGGACGGGGATGAACCGGTGATGGGGATGAAAATTATATCCGTTAACGGGGGTGGACCGGGGATGAACGAAATTTTTTTAAGCAAATACGGGGATGAAGACTACACTCCCTGCCTTCGGTCCACTGACATCCCTAATCATCACACTATATTATGATTATGAGTATGTGTGTATTTAATCTGTTACTATATAAATTTTAATATGTCACTCCAAGTTGTTATTAAACTAAAGTCAATATAATTTTTGATGATTATTGTTGTGGATGAAGTCACTCTATTTAGTCACTATATGTATTCATACTTTGTAGCCACACTATCTTGTACTCTATGAAATCAGTTGTTTTTTTAAAATTATATTGTACTACTTTTATGAAGTGACTCTTTTTAATCACACATTCTAGTAACTCTATGATATCAATTGCCCTTTGTTTTCATATAGTGTTGTTTTGCTGGAGTCATTCTTTGTTGTCACACCTTATAACGAAAACTATGACGACAACCAGTAACATATGTACAAAAAATATTAATTAAGATGTTGCGGTCTTATGAAAAATAAAAATAACTTTTGTGTGTTGATACTGTCGCAATGAATAACTTCTAAGAACAGCAATATAATAAGCACAACTCGAATAATTCAATTAACCGATATATGAAACCAAAAAAAAGGAACATACGAACAATAAACAAACAATATTTTGTAGATCATATATCAAATTCAATAAATTGTTTGAGTTTATAACGATATTATGAAAAAAATGTAATGAACTGTAGAATACTGATCATACAAACGATTGATTTGAAATCCCAACCAAATCATATTACAATGCTAAGAATTCAAAGTTCTTCAAATTGGATTTTATAAAAAAAAAAAAAAAAACAAATGATTAGAAGAACACTTCCAACTTGACATTTTATATCTTATGTAAGAATTGCGAAAAGGATAGATTTGAATATGAAGTGGTTTGATAAATCGTCAATGACTGAATTGAGAAGAGAAAAATTTGTCGCTAGCAAGGGTTTTGAAATTATCTTTTCAAATTTCAAACAATTTCTAATCCTCGTCATTTAGAAAATCTCTTACCTCAATAAAACAGATTCGAAAAAAAAAGAGACCGTCAAATCCGTTACGCATAAATTAAGGTAAAAACAGTTGAGTGATACAAAAATATGTAAAATTGTAATGTGTACCTGCTAATTGAATATTTTGGATCATAAGGATTTAATGACTGAAAAGTCTGAACTATGTACTTTAAGATGATGATGCACAAAATAATTTCGTGAAAGATCAACAGTCGAATGTGTCATAAAGTGTAATTAATGAGACAATTAATAAAACATCCATTGGCAGTAATGTAAATATTGAATCAACACATAGATATATAGTGGTTCAGTCCGAGTGACCTACTCCACTCTGAGAAACGGCAACAGAAGCCAAGGGGTTATTGATCAAGCAAGGTCTCCGAAGAGAGATACAATAGCTAGAAGAGAAAAAGTGTGTGTAGTGCGGTGTAGAGGCAAAGCTCAATGTGTAGTGAGATGACTTTCTCAATGGAGAAACTTTACAATTTATAGGTATGGTGAGGGAGTGACGTGAGTATGAGGGTATGAATTCCTTGGAGAGGATAGTTACAAAAGGTAAGTACAATTAACTAATTAAAGTAGCCTTAATCCTCGAGGTTGTGTATAGCGATAATTCCTCCCCATGTCCTCTAATTATTCTTGGACGCTTCGGACCTCGGGTTGAGTCGAATTCACGAACTCGACTTGAGCTGTCTTTTAGGTGACTTGAGCTTACTTGATTTATTGGGCTTGACCCGGTTGAATTTGGACTCGTCACAAGGTAAATAAGTTTTCTAGAATGAATCCGCTCACAATTTTTCCTGGAATTTAATTACTTGGAGTGAATACAAATTGACTTTTTTAACCCTCACAGTTGCATCCTTGGGCTTGGGTGATTGATTGTGCCTTAATCAGGCAAGGGCCATCGTTAGAGCTCTTTTGAAACCAAGAATATTGTAAATGGATTTGGCGTAATTACATCTTTACTGGTTCAAAAGTTCATAACTAAAATTGTGGACATGAATTTCAAAATTCATATTGAAACCTTCTTGCAATAAATTATTTGACCATAGCGGGTTTGTTCAAATAACTAAATAGTTGTCCACTCACAAGTATGATTTCAAGTCAAATCTCACTAGTTATATAACAATTCAATTTTCCTCTTTTGTAGAAAAAATTTAGATCAATCACTCACTTAACACAACATAAATTTTCACGAACCAAGCCCCTCTAGGGCCGGCTCAAGCCAATTTAAAGTCTAAAGCGAAAACACATTACAACAAAAATCATTTTTTGTGACGATTTTTTTTATCGCAAAATTAAAAAAATCGTTGCCAACAGTTTTTTGCGACATTTTTTTTTGTCGTGTGTTTGTCGCAATAGTCTCGTTGCAGAAAGTATTTTACAATGCAAATTTATTTTCATTGGGGAAAAAAAATTTCGCGACGAAATAAAATTGTCGTTAAAAGTTAAAAAACGTCGCTAAAATATATTCCACAAGATTTAGAAAATAAAAAATATTATTTTAATTAATTTTTCGCGACGTAATAAAATTGTTGCAAATAATTTTTTCATAAATAAAATTATAAAAAATAATAATTTAATTACTTTTTAGCGACGTAAAAAATTCGTCACAACTAATTTTTTCATAAATAAAAAATATAAAAAGTTATAATTTAATTAATTTTTAGTGACGTAAAAAAATTATCGCGAATAATTGTTTCATATATAAAAAAAGTAAAAAATAATAATTTAATTAATTTTTAGTGAAAAAAAATCGTCGCGAATAATTTTTTTATAAATAAAAAATAATAATTTAATTAATTTTTGGCAACATAAAAAAATCATCGCAAATAATTTTTTATAAATAAAAATGCAAAAAATAATAATTTAATTAATTTTTAGCGATGTAAAAAAATCGTCGAGAATAATTGTCAAAAATAAAATTTTAATTAATTTTTAGCGATGTAAACAAATCGTCGTAAATAATTTTTAATAAATTAACAATCTAAAAAATAATTAAATAAATACATTTGCGACGTATAAAAATTATCGCAAAAAAGCTTGCTCTTGCAATTTTTTGCAACGATTTTTATCTCGTCGCCAAAAAGTTCATTTTTTTTAATTTTACATAAAAAATAATATTTCAATAAAAAATTTCACCTGTACACTAATAATACTTGTGTTCAATAAAAAAATCAACACAATTTCACATCTTTTTAAAAAAAAAATAAAAATTTTATTTCCAAAAAAAATTAAGTACAAGAATCAAAAAACAAGAAGTTCTAAAAATAACAAAAAAAATGGCTTTAATCTTTCAAGGGGATTTACACCATCTCTAATTACATTTAATGTCTCTTAAATTTGAATAGCTCCAACAGTCTAGCTCCATGTCTTAAAATACCATCTCCAAGCTCAACACTATTCAGAATATGCATAATCAAATTGACCACCACACACAACCATTCCATTTGAAATATCCGTCAACATGATTGTTTTATGCTTGTCACAAACCTATCAAATACATGGAAAATATTAGCACTTAAAATTTATAGGCCATCAAGAGAATTCAAAGTAAGCTCTATCATTTAACAAAACAAATTTATCAGATGATATCCAAAATAAATTGATCTAGAGAAAACATTGTATTAAAGGAACACATGGAAAGGTTATAGGTACATATTCATTTTAGACAGTGAGAATATGTTTGTTTTAGATACCATTCAACTTGTCAATAAATTTAGATAGAACCATGGCTATAAGTATAGCTGGAGTAGCTCATTATTTACTACAGATGGCGTTAAGACTCCCAGATCTGTAAAGAGTAGGGTATCCTATAGTTAATTAGTTATATCCACTACCTATACACAAACAAGAGTGTCACTGTTTTCATGACCAATTATTGACTTACACCCCTTCATAATGGAGTTAAAACCATAAGCACCCCTACAAAATTTAGTGTAAAATCCAAACGAATATTACCACCGCTTCTTACAACCAGTAAAAGAATATTAGGCAGCATGTTTGAATTATAATTTACTTACACGTGAAAAGTTTAAAATTTTTTATTGTTGACAAGTTTTGAAACAGATCATCCATATGGTGCCGTTGTTCTACCAAATCATTCTAAATTTTATTATAGTGGTAACACAAGAGTTGCACTGACATTTTCAACAAAAGTAGAATCCTATGAATTTCCACGTGCCCAACCCATGACAGAGACTAGTATTCGTAAAAAAAGCCACCAGACACCTGGTGGGTGAACACCGACTTAGAATCAGAAAGAAGCATGTTAATATGTACTAATTGAATCAGGAAGTTGTAGTTCTTACCATTGGAGCTAAGAATAATGAAGCATCTGCAACCCGAGAAGTAACAATAACATTGTACCTTTCCATACATTCAACAATTGGAGCAGCTCCCATATAAACACTAGTGCCCTGCGTAAATATAACAGAAAAGTATCAGCCAATTTTTTACTTACAAGGGAAAAGAGGAGGATGGAAAAGGAATAACAGGAAGTAAATGCTTCAAGTATAAAGAAACAGGGATAGACTTAAATTCTCATCTGCAGGTCCCCACCCCCTCGCAGAAGGGGCAAAATGATAGAAGCATACAAGCAGAGCAGCAGGAAGCAGCTGAAAATAGAGCAGCAACAGACAAAGGCAGACCAACTGAAGAGACTAGAGAAGCATCAGAGAGGCAGCTGAGAGCGAGCAGAATGCAGTAGAAAAAGCCATCTGAGAGGCAGCAACATCAGAAATTCCAGCTGAAACATAGCAACTCCAGGACATCAGGGGCAGAAATTCTAACTGAAACCCGCAGAAGAAGGCTGAAAAGCCATGAGAAGAACCAACAGAAAGCCAGCTGAAAGATCACCACATCGCAGCTAAAAGGAGCATTTGGCAGCCTCAGAAACCATAAATACCAAATATAAACCAACTGAGAGCAGGGGCGGAGCCAGGATCCTTTCTTAGAGGGGGCAAAAAAATGACTAAAAAAAATTCACTAATTGATAAAAAAAATTTCAAGTTCAAGGAAGACAAAGTGTTTTAGAATCAAGGCTAATTTATTATATGAAACTACAAAATAAAATTTCCTTTAAAATATGATCTATAAATAACTTTTAAATCTCAAAAATAGGTTATAAGTGATTATTTTTAGTTACTTACTAAAAGAAAAAATGTCAGGGATAACTTCACATTTATTTTCCTCAATCCAAAAATAAAACATTTGTTTCAAGCGGGCAATGAGGCAGTGAACTACTAAGTTGTTTAAAAAAAATGAAAAAAAGACTTTGATCACTATTAATTCCCAAAAAGTTAGGGGGGGCAAGTGTACTAAATTTAAATAAAGTTAAGTCCTTAATATGTCATATGTAGAGCTAGTCAAAAGTTCAGTGGGGGCAAATGCCCCCATACCTGATTACATAGCTCCGCCCCTGGCTGAGAGAACCATATAAGAAAGCAGATGAACACCAGCTGAGAAGACTAGAAAAGCCAGCCGAGAGGCAGCAGAGATCCAGCTGAAGAGCAGCAGTCAGACTGTTCACGTGAACAGTGCACAGAAGCCCAATCAAGACAAAGTGTTTGCGCAATAGAATAGGTGTGTCACACAGGTTTCCCTACTGGCAGAAACAGCACAGATACTGCAATCAGATGTCAATCCAATGTTAAAACAGAAGAAATGAGTGCCAAGCAGTATGCTTAAGTTACCTGATATGGGTATGTGAATAATGCTAGAGAACAGACACCAATAAGTACCCCCTAACGAAAGCATATAGATAAATGGAGAATATGCTTTCATTGAATCCTTAATATTTTACGAAGATAACTTCTTTTAGTTTATTCATTGCGCTTAGAAACTGCACCCATACAAAACTTCATATTTAATCAGTGTGGACTGAAAGACATACCATTTAGATTATTCAATCAATCACTGCCAAAATCTTCATAACTGAAGCCTTCTGATATAGTGTCCAACCTCTTACCGTCTCCTGACAAGCCAGGGCACAATAATCAGTTACCCTCCTGAATAGAGAACAAGGTCAAATGGAAAGAATCTTACCTTGGTGGTTTACCCTATCACTTGGATCGAAGTAATTGTCTGTACCTGCTGCCTGGAAGGGTGACCTGGAGTAGCTCTCCAATATATCTGAGGTGAAATAAAAAAAGGGCTTCAGGTCATGTAAATGTGTGAAGTAGGATAAAGCTCTTGCATCTTGGCAAAAAAAATTTCTAAATGAGTTAAACAAACTTGCTGACAATCAGAATTCAACACACACCGATAGAAAGAGAACTCGAACTATTAGAAAAGTCAGCTGCCAAGTCTGATAGACTGAAGTTTCGAGGTATCTGTCCTAAAAGTCCAATTGAAGAGACATCGGCATCCAGGATTGTTCCATTCAGTGGTTGCGAATTAGACTCTATGCTGCTGAAAGATGAACAAGAAACATCCCCAATAGCAGGACGTGTTTCCAAGACACTGCCATCAACACCAAACAAGTACTGAGAATTTCTGACATATCCAACTTCGGATTTGATCATCCCCCCATTCATTCCTTGTATCATTCCCACATTTGAACCCTGAGCCAACAGTACATTTGGTGGTACATCAATCCTTCTGGCATGAGCAGAGATATCAACAGCTATTTGCAGGCGTTGGTGAAGTGATGACCCACCATTGGGGAGTGCATTTGGTAAAGTGGTACCTATAGGTTGTTGCATGTTATCAGGCTTTAGAGCAAGTCCAGTTTGGTCTGTGACATAGCATGCTGTGTTCTGGTGCACTGCAGCAAACACCACTAATATAATTAGTAGGAGTTAGACCAATCAGACTTTGGAATTTAGAGTAGCTGGATACTAAGTGAAGCACAGATTATTAACAAAATTACTCCAATATTTATCACAACGACTAAAAATAAAAGTTGAAAGGTTCAGACTTGCAAAGTTCAATATGCTGGTAAGCAGGAACAGAGCCATATTCTATTAAGTATGTATCGGGCTTTAGAGGTTTTCCATTGTATTTAACGGAAGCCATGGAGGATGTTACTACCACCCTTTTGATAGATGAAACTTTTGCACATGATGTCAGAACATTAAGTGTTCCCTTCACAGCAGGCTCAATTAATTCTGCCTGAAACATGGAAATCAAATGATAAGCAGCCCTTTCTATATACATTTTATCAAAATAAGCCAATAAAATCCTTTCCTCTACTGTCATGTCACTACCAGCTTTCCCCTGCAAAAAATTTCATTGATCGCTCTAAACTGTTAGCACCCTACTAAAGACCAAACTAAAATATTTTGAGATTGAATGAATAAATTCATGTGGAAGTAATCAACTGACAACTCACCTCTTTAATTTCATCAAAACCAATAAGCTAAACCTCCTATAAAATATCTGCTATGGGCGGAACATTTGGGAATGAGAAGTTTCCTTCTTAGTTTTGGCCAAATTCCAAACCCACATGTAACAAGGCATGTTCACCAGATGTAATGACAGACCAAGAATACTATTACGTAGTAGGGGTGGAAAATTTTATTAGAACAGGTGGAAAAGACAATGAATTACAGACCAGCACTTGATAGTGACAAAGAGAGCTTATCTTGTTACAAATACAAATTCAAAACATATGAGAATAGTAAATGACCAGGGGAAAGATAAAACAATTACAATAGATTGTCAAGGAGCTAGGCCAGTAAATAGATAACTAGATAACAAAGGCAGTAAATAGATAAATACATATAGTCACATAGAACAATAAAATCAAAGCAAATCCCAGGAACTCTCCAAAACAGAGCAGGTACAAATTCACAGAAATGCAAATCACCCCCAAAAAGGATAAAAGTATAACAAACAGCCTTCACACAACAAAGATCCAATGTTTACTCAATACCCATCAAAGTCACCAAAAGACAAATAAAGGAAAAACTAAAAATGAATACACAGAAGCTTCTTCCCACTAAAATTTGCGATAAATTTTACAACTACAAACCAACCAAATACAATAAGAGCTGAATTTGTGGGGGAAAACAAGATAGAAATTCTAATTCGTATATGTTACAAAGAGAGATAAGAGAGAGATGTAAACGAAGAACCTGGTGGGTGAAACCAACCGTGGACTGAATCGATGGAGGCGGCGACGATCGATGGTGCTTGTGGCTTCAATGGCCTGTGGCTTCGAGTTCAATCGATGGAGAGAGAGAGAGAGAGAGAGAGAGAGAGAGAGAGAGAGAGAGAGAGAGAGGAGGCGGTTACGATCGATGGTGCTTGTGGCTTCACTGGATTGTGGCTTTAACTGCAATCGATGGAGAGGGAGAGAGGCAGTGAGAGGCAGAGAGTGTGTGTGGCTTTGAGTGCAATCGATGGAGAGGGAGAGAGAGGCAGAGAGTGTGTGTTGACCGAAAACGAAGAGGGAAAGATGGGGAAAAAAGAGGAAAAAAGAGTTGGGAAAAGAAAAAAAAAAAAAAAAAGGTAAAAAAATGCCTAAAACGACGTCGTTTTGTTTTTTTAAATATTATATTCTACAATGAAAATAAAAACGTCGCGATTTAAAATTTTTCTATTTTATTTTAATTTTAAATGTGGTTATAATTTAAATGTTGCGACGAAAATAAAAAATGTCGCAAATTAAATTTTTATTTATTTTTAATATTCTAGACAAACTTATAAAAAACGTCACGAATTAATATTTTTATTTTATTTTTACTTTAATAACTAAAATTAACATTCTACATCGCAAAATATTTTAACTAAAAATATTTTCACAGACCAACATTATTTTTTTTCCTTTTTCCACATTATGCCACATTTATGTATATCGAATACAAAAAGTATAAAAAAATCACCAAAATCTATCCCTCCCAAAACCTGTCAAATACCTCTGCTAGATTTTCCACTTAGGATTAGGTCAATTTGTAAAACAAAAAGTGAAAAAAAGAAGAAAAAAAAATTCAAGGAAAACCCCCTATTTTCTCTGTCGACAACTACCAAAATGACACTCAAGACAAAACAGTTTTCCAAATCCACAGAGTAATAGTTAAAGAACAAGAAATTAGACACCCAAAACCACTAATCCCAATAACTAAACTAAGTCATTGCAAATATTCAATAAGTTTAAATTAAAATAAAATGTGAGACTCACAAGTATTATACAGAGTTTGTACTTTCATGTGGAGATGCAAAAACTTACAAAGTAATTTTTCAATGGGATCTTTACCTCAGTAATGGGATGGTAGGAAACGATTTGGTTCAAGAGTGAGGGCAAGCAACACTTCAGTTCACAGGGGGAGGGGAACAAAGAGAATAACGAGGATGAGAGAGAGAGAGACAGTACTGTGTGTGTTGACTGAAATAAACAAAGACGGAGATATTGGGAACATGAGAAAGAGGGAAAAAAAAAGGATGGGCAATGAATCTCAATTTATGTAGGTAGTTTTTTTTTTTTAATGTCCAAAACGACGTCATTTTGAATTTTTTAAAAATTATATTCTACGACGAACATAATGTTGTAATTTAATATTTTTATTTTATTTTACCTTTAAATGTGGTTGTAATTTATATTCTGCCACGAAAATAAAAACATGGCAATTTAATATATTTACTTTATTTTAATTTATTTTTTAATTATTTTTTTTTGCGACAAATTTTTTTTTACCAAACTAAAAAATTTTCATTTCCCGCCATTGCTCGTACAAAAAAAGAGACAAAGAATGACAATTTTGTGACAAAAAAAATGTCGTGTATTAAATATCTTGACTTTATTTTAATTTTAATTTTAATTTTAGATTATTTATTTTTGTGATGAAGAAAAACTATCTGCGACAAACAAAATTTTATTGTAAAACATTATCAATTTCTGCCATTTCTTGCGCAAAAAAAAATTTTGGGAATTACCTTTTCGCAACATTTTTTAAAAAAGTTGCAAAAAAAATTTGCAACAAAACTATTTGTGACACAATTATTAAATTGTCTTGGATAGTACAATTTTTGTGACGAAACAAAAACGTCGCAATTAATATTTTAATTCTAATTAAAAATTACAAAGTAAATTCTAATTTGCGATGTATATATAAACGTCACGAAATAATAATTTTATTTGATACGAAAATAAAATTTATATTCTGCGACGAATTATTAAAAACATCGCTAAAAAATAAATATTCCCGACAAAATAATAAAAACATGAATAATTAATATTTATATTCTATGACAATAATATTAAATGTTGCGAATTAATATTTTGACTTGGTTTTTATTTTTATTTTATATTTTTGTTTTGCGACGAATTTAAACTATCCGCGACAAAAACATTTTATCGCAAAAAATATCAACTCCCTCCATCTTTTTGCGCCCAAGAAAAAAATTTGATTTGACTTACCTTTTTGCGACGTTTTTTAAAAATTGTCTCAAAAGAAATTTGCCAAAAACACTATTTGCGACAAAAATATTAAATTGTCGCAAAAAATTCATTTTTTGTGATGAAAAAAATAACGTTGCAATTAATATACTAATTCTAAATTAAAATTATAAATTAAATACTAATTTGCGACGAATATTAAAACGTCACGAAATAATAATTTTATTTAATATAAAATAAAAATTATATTCTACAACGAATTTTTAAAACGTTGTGAAAAAATACCTATTCCCGACAAAATAATAAAAAACTTCGCTAATTAATATTAATTAAAATATATATTCGACGACGATAATATTCAACGTCGCGAATTAATTATTTTGACTTTAATTTTATTTTGATTTTATATATATATATTTTTGCAACGAATTGAAACTATCCACGACAAAAAAAAATTTATCGCAAAAAATATTAACTCCCGCCCTTTTCTCGTGCCAAAAAAATTTGGTGGGAATCTCTTTTTTGCAACTTTTTTTTATAAAACGTGGCAAAAAAATTTGCTAAAAACACTATTTGAGACAAAAATATTAAATTGTCGCAGAAAGTTCAGTTTTTGTGACGAAAAAAAAAGTGTCGCAATTAATATTTTAATTTTAATTTAAAATTACAAATTAAATTCTAATTTGCGATGAATATTAAAATGTTGCGTAATAATAAATTTATTTAATAAAAAATAAAATTTATATTTTGTGATGAATTTTTAAAAACGTCCCAAAAAAATAAATATTCTCGACAAGATAATAAAAAACGTCGCTAATTAATATTAATTAAAATTTATATTCTTCGACGATAATATTAAACGTCGCGAATTAAATATTTTGAGTTTATTTTTATTTTAAATTTATATTTTTTTTTTGTGACAAAGTAAAACTATCCGCGACAAACAAATTTTGTCGCAAAAAATATCAACTCCGCCATTTTTCTTGTGCCAAAAAAATTTGGTGGGAAATGGCTTTTCGCGACGTTATAACGTCGCAAAAAAATTTGCCAAAATCACTATTTGCGACAAAATTATTAAATCGTTGTGAATAGTACAATTTTTGCGACGAAAAGAAAACGTCGCAAAAAAATTGTCGAAAAAAATGATTTTTGTTGTAGTGACATTAAATGAAAGCTTTTTTATTTTTAGTATTATTTAAAAAAAAATTTAATTTATTTTTAATTTTCTATATGAGAGGAAGACAAAATAAAGATGTATTAATATTGTTAAGAAAGATATTTCAACTTTTATTTTTGTTTTTTACCACAGAGAGTATTTAATTGCAACTTTTGTTTTTATTTTTTTTACTAGAGAGAGAGAGAGTGTGGGTGGAAGTAAATATGCGTTGACTTTTGAATATTTTTTAAATTTTTTTTAATTTCTAAGTTTTTAATGTGATAAATTAGATTATAGACCCAAATTATTGTAATAAAATTTTTAATTAGAATTATTTTTAAGGCTTTTTTGTAGTACTTAAAATTTAATGAATTTAATTTTTTTTTGCAAGTTAGTGATGTACCTAAAATTATGAGAACTTCTAAAAATTTGGGGCATAAGCCTGTACTTTTTTCATATTGTTGGTCGGCTTTGCGCCCTTGCCCCCTCCCATGCAAAAAAAAAAAAAAAATCCTATTTTGAATGTGCATTGTAGCAAGCAATCAAAAAAAAAAACAACTTGAGAAAAAGAACACTACCCATGTTAACAAGAGCAATTTTTCATTATATGAAAATCTCAACA